AGCTGGTTCGCTGTACGAGTACAAAAAAAAGAGGAAGTCATACTTGAGTAGACAGATTGCCAGTAGATGTTAATGACAAAGCAATTTCAGCATTTCCATTTGGCACATTTCCAGAGTTTGCAAGAGAAGAAGCCCCATTATTACCATTCTCATTAATTGTATTGCCATTTTCCAGCCCATACAGTGAAGTACCTTTCGAAGTCTCTTTTGAGACTTGAGAACAATCCATGGAAGTACCATTCTTTTCTCTTTCCTCTGCCAGTTCTTTTTGGAGCTGCTGTATATGCAAGTGTAGATGCTCCATCTCGCCAAACTATAAAACAAAAACTCTAATAAATCTCCGACTACGATTACAAAATGCAAACTTAAGACAAAGCCAATCTGTCTGCCAGCAAACAACAATATGTCAATGTCATGCAAAAATTTAACAACCTGTCTCTGAGAACCTAGCCAAAGCTGATTATACTGTTCTGCTCGTTCACGTAGTTCAGCTTGTTGCAATGCATTGACCTCCTGAGCATGACTCATCCAACTATGGGCCTCCGTCATTTGTTCATCTTTGTAAATCATGGTTTCTTTGGCAATTCTGTTCTGAACATTAAATAATATTCAAAACTGTCAGCCTGCAAGATTCTAGACCGCAACTATTTTGCAAAAGCAATTAAATAAGCAGGGTTGACAACTGACACTATACACATAGTTACTGTGCAAGTGTTGTTACTATACTACAGAGCATCAAAAGTATGTTCTGACACTATGGCATATGTGTACTGACTGACCTGTTCCTGCAATTCCATGCATAGACGTTCTTTCTCTTGAATATGCTCCTGAAGTTCATGAATTTGTTTAATATTCTGAGCTCTTTCAGTTTCAGAGTTGTCCCACTCTATTCTGCAAATATATGAGCCATATCTAAAAAAAATAAAGCTAATACCTCACCAGACCCCAATCATAGAAACAATCATATTAAGTGATGATACTGTTTGATTTTAAACTCATTACTTATATGTTCACAAACAAGTAACAGCTTCCAGCAGTACAATAAACCAAATCAAACACCTCAAATGCAGGCATACTTATTCCACTGGAATCAAAGTGCACACTCTCTTTCTATAGCGAATGGAGAAGAATTGAGAAGGATAATATGGCATACTTTTCGGTTTGTAATTGAGTTAAACATTATCATGGTATGCACAATCATGCAGCAAACATACGGTACCTATAAGTTTGCAATTCTTTGTTCTGTTTTCTCAGTAGATCCTCTTTAGCCCAAGCCTGCTAAGTAAACAGTATGCAAAGCAAGCGTTTAAAAAAAGACCGATAACACAAATTAGATGTTCAAAACCAAATGAATAAGATATACATAAAGATGTCATATGATCAAACCAACCGCTTCATTGTCCAATCTTATTGCTTGCAATTCCCTCTCTTTATCCTCCATTCTTCTTTCCAACTCATATATCTTCTGGTCTCTTTCACGCAGTTGTTCCTTCACGTCCATTAAACCAAATTCCATTACCAAAAGTACAAACCTAAATAACATAAAACTGGTTTTTTATCTTTTGCCCCCCTATGTTCCATTTTATTTGTATCCGCATTCAACTTAACTCTTTTTATTCACTATTTTATTTTATAATAACTTTTTCCATATTCACACAATCACACTTGCTGTTTGTGATTTAAAAAAAACTTTAGTGTAGTTTTAAAATGTGTGCATGTTAATGATTGGCATAAAATTTAATATTGCTAATAATGAGGCAGGTGTCTATTTGCTAAAGAATACGTAGTACTGTGGTATTAGCTAACAACTGTACATACCTGAAGTTTCATACTAGTATTTGCCTGCTCTTTAACTTTAGCATCAAAAACTTTCCTCAGATCCATAATCTCTGACCTAGTAATGATTTGAGCCCGGAGATCAATCTCCATCTGCTGCAACTCATCCCTTTGTTTCACAACAGTATGAAGCCTCTGCTGCAGAAGATCACTATCCAGATTTTCATCAACACTAATTGAGCAGAAGTCCACATCAGCAGGTTCTCTCCCCTGCTGCACCTTTGATAAAACAGAAAAATATCTTTATCTCCATCCACGTCCCAATAAGATCCAAACAAAGCCTCAGAAAGTTCGAAAGAGAAAAATAATACCCAAAAGGAATGTGCATGAATTCAAAACAAGAATGCCATTTTACCTCGTATATTAGTCTCTCATCTGACTGCCCTAATTTTGACCGATCAACCTCCAATACAAATATATTCAGAAACATTTGTTAGCAAACAAAACAAAACAAAACAAAACAAAACAAAACAAAACAAAACAAAGAAAATAAATATGAACGGAGAAAACTTTAACTCGTTAAGAGGGTGTAGTGGAATGTTTCCGGTACCTCACTAGTATAATTCCTCAACGATTGCTCGGATACAGCGCGCCATTCCTTGCGAGAAGCCTGAGATGAAGAAACGGACAGAGGAATGCCGCGTGCAGCAGCAACACCAGCCGCCGCATCCATTGGCTAAAGAATCCGCGGCAACTCAAAGTCTACGCAAACCCTAAACGTTAAAGCCGACGAAACAATCGAAGGCTAAAATATAACTTTAAATTAAAAAAAAAAAGCAATCTAGAGGTAGAAAAAGAACGGTAGAACGGAGAACAAAGGAAATTTTAAAGTCGCAAGAGATTGAGCGAATGTGCTTACCGTTTTACCGGGTGGGTATTTGACAGTGATATGGTCGGAAGGGAGAAATGCGAATCGTTGGCGGAGGATGGAGTGACCAGTGGCCACACTTCACTGCTTCGGAGTTTACTTGAGCGAGATGATGGAAGTGTTTTTTAGAAGTGTTACTTGCCAAATCAAGCTTGTTACTTCGCAAATGCCCTATGCCTATCTAAATCAGAAAATTATCTCAATTTTTGTCTTTCCACTCATATAATCTATTTATATCATCATATACATATCATTAGCTCCTCATTTGTCATTTAAATTTTTGGAAAAGAGTCAAATAAAATCTTCTACTGTGTTATATAACATCGTCACATGATGTCGTGTACTCAATAAAATGTCATATAAATACGTCTATCTATAAAAAGGCAATTAGATGATAACCTCGTAATCCCGATTTTAACGTATATCTGATTATCTTTTTAAAATGGATTATATGGTTGACACAAAATATTTAACTAGGAATGGCTTAAATACAAGACAAAAATAGTGACACGCAAGCTAGAATTAATGTAGACTTATATGTTTGGAAAACAGGGGTATCCAAACATATAATTAATGTAGAGTTGAGCGAGTGGAGTGGAGAAGAAGATAATTGTGTAATGTATTGAATATGAATTGATTATGGTTTACAAGACCTCCCACATGGAGTATATATAGAAGAAATAATGGGTTGTGCCGTTAATATGGGTCCGATAGGCCCAATTACATAAAATGCTAATCTAGTAGATACAAATAACCATATGAGCTGTACAATAATATAAATGATATCTGTAAAGCGTGTTTGGTCATTGTTCAGGCCCAATAGTCGTGAGACCGAGGGTCCGAGTCTATATACTCTATCAGGAGTCCCTCCACACTCTTTAAGGTGAGCGTACTCGAGGCGAAATGGAGTAGATCTATGTACTGGTGGAGTGCACCATTGTCGTTGTCGAGGCGCTTCACCCGGATTCCCAGGCCGCCGATCCAATCCCGTTGACGAGCCCTGACTGAGGCAACCCTTTGTGAGAATCCTCACCCAAGGATCGCATGTTAGAGACCATCACCATCAATTCAGGGATCGGGGGGCTACGTAAATGTCCTTGGAGTTGTGATAGCTGAATCTGCATATGATGTGATGGTGTCGGTGGTGCATGATGCAAAGCTTGTGACAAGTTTGAATTCATGCTTCTTCGATTGACGGAGGTGCTGAGTCCCCCGCTCTTACAGTCCCACACTCGTTGAGGCATTACAGTGAAGGAAGGGAATAGAGTAGTACATGTCTCGTGATGACTCCAATAGAGGTCGAGGGTTGACACTTTTTGTCCACAGTGGGAGATGTCTCATTAAAAATCTTATCAGAAAAAACTTTGTGGGAAAAAATCCTAATAAAGGAAACATAGTACCCTGGATGCCCTTAAAATGAAGCAAAAGAGGTGAGCCATTCGGCTAAGGCGTGGGGCTGTAACAATCGTCATATGCTAAGGGATGGCCGAGATCAGTCTTCGAGTGTGAGTAGCTCGGCATTAAAGTAGTCCTAGTCATCGAATAAAGATGGTTAGGCGATTAGTCGAGCGACCGTTCATAATATGATGTTCGATCCATCAAATAAAGATGACCATGATAAGTGACCGAAAGACCTGTATGAACTCCAAGTTGTGAAATAAAGAGCAGAAAATATATGACTGAGGGGTCAGTATGAATCCAAGTCATCAAATAAAGATGATTAGGAGAGACAACTGAAGAGCCAATATGACGTCGTCATTTAGTTGCGCCTAAACTTTCAAATAAAATTGTTATAACTTCTTGAGCTTATAGTTCACTATTGAATTTAGGTCTAAATTAAGTTGCCTCAAATTTTTTCAAGTTAAAGTTAAAGTTGAAGCTAGATTTCTATGTTGATTAGAAGTGTCTCTAATTTTTATCCCAAAATATTGCACTATAGATTTTTTTTGTGAGCTTTCCATATAGGCAGTCATATACTCCCTCCGTCTCGTTGGAAGGTTCCCATAGCAAAGCGGCACGGTTATTTAGACAATAATTAAATAAAATACTTCGAGTATATTTTGAGAAATAATTTTAATAGGTATATATTATAATGTAGTTAGTATTGATAACTGTGATGTTATAAATATATTAATTTTAATATTTAATGATTAATTTGTCATTTAGGATTGTTAATTATTTTCTAACAGCACGTTCAAAAAAGGAAAACGGAAACCTTCTAGCGGAACGGAGGGAGCACGGTGTACCTAAAATGTATACTTGCATTTTTAAGAAACCTGGCAGTTTACCATCAGCCATACCCCCCCTCCCCTAACCAACGAACAAAGCACTGCCTCCTAGTCTTCATCCTTGACTTCACCATTACACTATCGCGGTGTCGGTGGGTTTGCTCCGGCAACCTGAATTCTGCAGACGACATCCATACACTTCCGATACTCATCGCTTGCCGCGAAACATATGGCTGGTTTTCGTCTCATCTCATTAGCCACTCTCTTCTTTGTTCTCTTGATTGCTACTACCGCTTTTGCTGAGATCCGATCCACCAAGATCCGATCCGATGCCCGATCTGCCATACCCTTCGACGAATTTGGGTTCACACACTCCGGCCGTCTTAACCTCTCCGTCACCGGCATCTCATTCTCCGTACGGAAAGGTCAACCGGATCCGCCCCTTTCCCAGCTAGGGTTCTTCCTCTGTACCCTAGATGCCTGGATTCACGTCCTCGAGCAGCTCCAAGCCGGGGAAATCCCATGCACACTCGAATCGGAACTTATAAAAAAGGTCTTCACTTTCGATCAGATCAAACCATCTACGCATGAGTTCAGCACATCCTTCAAGGTATCGGAGGCAAACCAGTTCACGCTGGTGTTCGCTAATTGCGTCCCAGATGTGGAAGTTTCCATGAATGTTAACTCAGTGATGTATAATTTCAACCCGAAAACGGGTCAGCTTGATTTTCTTTCCGCAGGCAAGGCATCTCTACCGGCTATATACTTTCTGTTTTTCTTGGTGTACATGCTTCTGGCCGTTTTTTGGATCTATGCACTTTACCAGAAACGCTTATCTGTGTATAAAATCCATTTCTTCATGCTTGCTGTTGTGATTATGAAGGCTCTGAATTTAGTGTGTGAGGCTGAGGATAAATCATACATTAAGAGGACCGGAACTGCCCATGGGTGGGATGTTGTGTTCTACATATTTAGCTTCTTGAAGGGGATATCATTGTTTACTCTGATTGTTCTGATTGGGACTGGTTGGTCATTCTTGAAGCCATACCTGCAAGATAAAGAGAAGAAGGTGTTGATTGTAGTCATCCCATTGCAAGTTGTGGCCAATGTGGCTCAGGTTGTGGTGGATGAGACAGGACCGTTTGGTGAGAGCTCATATACATGGAAACAGGTTTTCTTGCTAGTGGACATAATCTGCTGTTGTGCGGTATTGTTCCCCATCGTGTGGTCCATAAAGAACTTGCGCGAGGCTGCCAAGACGGACGGAAAGGCTGCAGTGAACTTGATGAAGCTGACATTGTTTAGGCAGTACTATATAATTGTGATTTGCTACATTTACTTTACCAGGGTTGTGGTCTATGCCTTGGAGACTATTACTTCCTACAGATATCTGTGGACAAGTGTTGTTGCTGCTGAGTTGGCTACACTTGCTTTCTATACGTTCACTGGATACAACTTTAGGCCTAAAACTCACAACCCTTATTTTGCCATTGATGAAGATGAGGAGGAAGCTGCTGCTGAAGCGCTCAAGCTTGAGGATGAATTTGAATTGTGAGTAGTTTTTGTTTTTATTGGAATTTGTGGAGATAGAGAAATGTCATGGCATGTCAACTGAGTTTTAGTTTTTTATGCATAGCGGTACATCCTCCTGTACTTTGTTGTTCCCATATACTACTTATAAAAATATTTGTTTATGTCCTCTATCGGAATCCTATTGTCGAAAACCCTTGGATCCTGATTACTACATTTCATTAAAGTGACACTATTTTATGTCTGATATATACTCCGTATTTTGTAGATAGATAAGTGTGGCTTTGCCATTCAGCAGTGAGCTACATACATCAATGTGTATGCAGTGTGCTTTAATGTCCTTATTTTGCTGATCTCACTCCATTACAATATTATTCCTTCTGAATCTTTGGTAAGAGAACTGGTAAAAGATTGTATTTTTAGAAATTCATCCTCATCACCAGTTCATTCAGAAGGAAAGATTCTCACTACTGAAGGGCAAGGCTGAGGATGAATATTGTAATAAAGGATGATTTTTTAGACACTTTGACTAAAGATCAAAGTGTCTTTGATCTAAAATCACTTTAAGTGTCTTTTATTTAAAGTCGAGTACCAAAGTGTTTTATGACTTGAAAGTGTCAAGCGGGACAATAGCCGAATGACAAAAAGTGAAAAAATCAAAGTCGAGTGCCAAAAGTGTCACTCACATAATAGTCAGAGCACTATTATTTCTGACTAGTATTGTGTCAATGACACTATTGGTACTCGACTTTCAATTTTTCCACATTTAGTCTTCAACTATTGTGCGAGACAGTTTTAGTTCCCGACTTCAAATTTTTTCTTGATTTAGTGCCCTGAGTATTATCAAATTGATTGTTATAGTCCTTTCACTATGATTTTGATACAGTAAGTGGAAGACTAAAAATGTTACTATTATTATACTCCCTTCGTTCCTATTATAACTTCAAACTTTCCTTTTTCGTCAGTTCCAATTAAAATTTCCACTTTCCCTTTTTGGTAAAGAATTTGTGATTCACAACATTTCTTACACATTTCTCTCTCCTTTGCACAACTCTCCACCACACAATGTCCACTATCTTAAATGATATGCTAAATCTATTTGGAAGTTATAATAGGAACGAAGGTAGTCGTTGAAAGATCAGAAGCATCCGTTTTATGAAAGTCGAATGACTAAATATGAAAATTTTAAAAAAATAGGTACCAAAAGTGTCTTTCACGCAGTAATCGAAAGACTAAAAGTGGAAATATTCAAAGTTGAGTAGCAAAAGTGTCCGTGACATAATAGTCGGAGGACTAAAAGTGGCAGAAACTCCTTGTTTGAGGTATGAAAGTACAAGTCTGGACTGTTCTAGTTTGGGATGGAAAGAGTCTAAATAAAAACATTCATAAGAATTTTAATTGGATTGAAATAGTTTGGTTTGATCTGATATGATAAATGTTTGGTCTCTTTGTATTTTGTAGACAGATCTAGTCAATCTAAAACTGAAAAGAATCCAAATAAGAACATTCATAACCTACACTTCACGAAAAATATATTCACAAAATTGCATAAAAAACTCCACTGCAAACTAGGGGTGGACTCGGGTCCGGGTCGGACCTAGGCCCGGGTGGGGCGGCGGTTCAAGAATGGTGGACCCGGGACCGGCCCGGGTAGCCACGGGGTCCAGTCCGGGTCCGGGCCGGGCCTTCGGTTTGGATTTTTTTTTTTTTTTTGCTTTCCTAACCCTCCTCACCCCAGCCTCCCAAACCCCCCAAACCCATCCTACCCATCAAGCCCAACCCGGGTGGAACCCCAAAAATGAATAATAAAAAAAAAAATCAATTTGGCCCGGGCTCGGACCCGATCCGGCTGGGCCGGTTCACCAAATTTGAGACCCGAGCCCGGATCCGCCCTACCCCCGGGCCTAGACCCGACCCGGACCCGACCCGGACCTGACCCGGACCCGGACCCGAGAGCCGGTCCGGTCCCGGTCCCACACAGTAGTGGGCCGGGTGGCCCGACTCGAGTCCAACCATACCGCAAACTGCCTCAAACGACGACGGCTGATCAGAGGATTATTACTTTCTCTATATGTACTACTTTAGTCTAGGGATGGACTCGGGCCGGGTGGCCCGACCCGGAACCGGCCCGGGACCGGTACTGTTCCGGCCTGGCCCGAACCGGTGGCCCGGTCAGACGGGTAGGCCCGACTCGGTGGGTTTCCGGTCCGGGCTCGGGTCACCCATAACAAGGCCCGGCCCGGGCGGGCCCGGTTCGGGCCAAATTTATTTTTTTTTTGGTTTTTTTCATTTGTTTGGGCTCCACCGGGTTGGGCTTGATGTTTAGGATGGGTTTGGGGGGTGGGGGTGAGGGGGGGGGGGTCAGGGATGGGTAGCTAAGCAAAAAAAAAAAAAATTAACCAAACCCGAGGCCCGCCCCGGACCCGGCCCGGACCCGGTGGCTACCCGGGCCGGTCCCGGGTCCAACTACATAGAATCGCCGGCCCGACCGGGCCCGACCCGGCCCGACCGGGCCCGACCCGGCCCGAGTCCAACCCTACTTTAGTCGCCCTAATATTGGAATAAAAGAGAGTGATGCAATTATTAGAAGAGTGAAATTGTGTGGTTGATATTAATCGATAGTGTAAATAAAGTAAGAGTGAATGACATCCACACGAATTTTATGAAATATGATATGGAATAAAGTTAGCGAGATAGACAAAAAGGTAAAATGAGACAAACATAAGTGGACACGGGGTATATGTTAACATACGAAGTATATATTTAACAGTAATATTATTGGTAGTTTTATAGCATAGCATGCGATAGTTATTAATGGGCCGCTAGCTGCCTAATGTATTAATGTATACATATGAAACTAATGTGTTAATGGGCCAAGCAATGTCTGGCTTGGACGCATGTCTGGGTTATATGGGCTTGGTGGAGACTTGCTGTCTTGGGCTGATGCGCGGAATGACCTTTAATTAGGCTTGCACCCTGAGACGCTAGGAATTTTACCGGAAAGCTTTTTTACGCTGGGTCTGGGCTTTCATTAGTTCACGGTCCAACAATTTACTTTGATGGGTTGTATTATATATTTACATTTTATGCAAAAACATTGTATTAATGTTTATAATCATTCATTTAACCTTAGACTTCTAAAGTTGGAGAGCCACAACCCTAGACTTCTAGGTAGAAAATGTGATTGTTTTTTATGAAAGAACATAACTTCATTAGTTTGTATTATCATTTATGTGAATGTTTTTCATCATTTTGGAGCTATTTGTGTATATATTGTGACATTATTAAATCTGCTCGACATAATAGTTTTTTTTTGTGCTTTGTGGCGACCGACTATTAAAACTTAAAACAATGCTTTTCAACTATTGACTTAAAGAAGCTGAAAATAGTGTTATCAAATGACAGTTTCTGCTTAAATTAAACACTTAAAAGCTAAAAGCTTAAAGCAGGTGAAAGAGTGCTTTAAACCGCTTTTCACTTTTTCTATTACACAAATAACACTTATTTTACCAAACACTATCAACTTTTACTTTTCCAGAATCAATTTTTTGTCAAACACTATCAACTTTTACTATTACTCCACATATACTTTCTCGAAAATCACTTTAAAAAATCATTTTTAAAAAATAGAAGCAATCACAAAACCTTCTAATTTCCGAGACCCACCGAATCCAAAATATGAAAAATGAGTTCGGATCTAGACCAAAATAGATTCCAGGATCAGAGATAGAGAATACGTAGTATGTAGTTGTGGCTCGTATATGATCCGATCCATTCAGTCATTGACAGCCCTTACCATCGGGGGGCAGGGCGATAGGTCCAAAAACTGAAACGAAATTAGACCGTTTTCCGCCCTAATCTAACCATTTTATCCGGCCCAAACAGCCTCCTAACGCAACGAAACCAGAACTCCAGAAGCCCTGCGCAGAAGTGCAGAACGCCCACAGGCCACAGCCAACTCATCGTCTCATACTCTCTGACACCGACCTCAAGCCGCCCAGACGCCATCGCAGCAACGGCTGCGAGCTTCCGACGCTTGGCCGCCTCCCGACCGGCCCGTCCCCGCCCCTTCCCAGCGGACCTGCAGCCTGCAATTTCAATTGTTCCCAGCCTCCCAGCCCTTTCGCCCCTTCGCTCCCCTGCCCTTCAGTGCTTCCTGGTATTCTTCTAATCTGCTATTTAATTCTTATAATGATTACATTAGTCTGTTTGTTGAATTAAACTCTATCCCCGCCTACCAAGCCTCAAACTTTTTGTTTAGAGCATTTGGATTTTTACATTCAAACCAATTAAAAATAATTTTGAATGATACTTTACACATATGTAGTAGAACACTTGAAAGTAAAGGGTTAATTTATTGGATTCTATGTATATTTGTGGCACAACACATGGATATTATTTAAATTTAATTGTTGATTGTTAATTTGTTTTCCATTAATTAGTTCTGTCATTGTTGATGTTTCAGTTAGTTGATTAGTGGTTTCAAAGCAATTAGTTCATAGTTGTTACTTTATGAATTTGAAGTGATTAGTGATTTTTCTGTTTTGCAATTAAATTTCGATTATGGGGTTATAAGTCAAGGTTTTAATGGAAAATTTGTTTTTGTGAAGAAGTCAAATCCTGAATGTCTTCCTCAACACGAGAACTCGGAGGACAAGAACGGTTTCGCTGCCGAAATAGAATGGTTGAGAATGATATGTCATAGGAGGGGACAATTTAGGAGTTGATAGTATTGCTAGTGAGCAACTAAAAAGTAATTTGGATGGATCAAATATATCAGCTTCAATTACGTTGTAACTGCGGTTCTACTTTGTTTAACTTAACAAATTATAAAAGTATTTTTCTATTATAAAGGTCTTAAAATATTATTATTATTATACATGTTAGTTTAGATAGTTTTCTTTTTACATTTATGAAAAAAGATTAAGCCCATTATAAATTACCTGCCCCTAGGCTTTGAACAAACAGGACCGGCCCTAATTGGGATCCACATCGCACACTGTACTTTTCATTGGAAACAATAAAAGACTAAAAATAAAAGAAAGTCTAGAACATTTGGCAGGTACTTTAGCTATCTCATATCTTTATAATTGTTAGTTTGTTACTTCTGTTCCTGCAGGAAGATTGGCAAAGCAATCTTCCTTGTTAACTATAGATTGATAGATGAAGTCATGAAACATATCATGTTTGCATTATTGCATATTTATTGTTTCTTTTGATTTACCGTTTATTTAGTACTCCCTCCGTCCTATTTCAGTTTCCTTGTGCAGTTTACGATGGTCTATTGAAGATAAATTTAAGTTATTCTGATAATATATATTGGTGTTAATAATTCAAATGTACATATTTCAAAACTACACAAGAAATGAAGATATGTTGTCTGTGAACCGTAAACTGGGACAAAGGGTGTAGCGTGTTATGCTGAAGGCATATTCATTTGAGTTAAATGAAGATATGTTGTCTTTCAAATCTTTGAGTAGGTTTTAGGCAGCTGAGGATAACAAGATGATCCGAAGAGTTAGTCAAATCAACTTTCTGAGTTCTTCAACCCCGACCTCTCTCAAAGCTCTGAGCTACCAATTTCTGCAGCGGTGCACAGTGAGCAGAACAGCAAAGGGTAAGGGAAAAGTGAAGGCAGGACAAACCTTGAAGAGAACCAAAATTTCTACTAAAAAGGGTTCAGAAGTTACACCTAAAGAGGCTCCTAGAAGAAAAAGTGAATTTGATGACATGCTCGAGGAGTGTTTGAGCTCTACTCCGCCGCTTCGTTTTTTGAAGCCGAAAGAGCTGGCCCGAGAGGCAGAGAGAGAGAAAATGGGCATACTTTCCAAGGCCCGTGAAGATGAGAAGAAGAAGCTGAAGAAGATGGGGAAGGAGTTTGAATCTCCTTGGATGATTGGTACTCCGGGTTTGGACTTGATCTCTTTGGGCCTTGTTGACGCTGAGAAGATACCAAAGTATGATCTGACAGTTGAGGATGGGCGGAGGCTAGCAAAGGAGTATAGTAGGGTAATGATGAGGAAGCATAGGGCAAGGCAGGCTTCTGAGTCAACACTGTTGAGGTTGAAGAAAGAGGCTATTGAAGCTTTGCCGGATGATCTAAAAGCTGCTGCTTTGGTTCCAGACCTAACTCCATTTCCCATGAACCGGTTTATGGCAACACTGACCCCTCCAATCGAAGGATACATTGAGAAGGTTCAGGAGGCAGCAAGAAAGAGCTCTGCAAAGGAAAAGCTCAGATGACAGACCTATGAGGTCAGTCTGTTTTTCTTTTATGGTAACTGCTTCTTGCTTAATCTGCATGTTACCACATGTCTTGAGTTGTATGGAATTGATATTTACGGTGGTCTAATAGAGAAATTTCACATTTTGATTGTCAAAATACTTTTATGTGATTTGTTTTGTGTTGTGGCTCAAGTCTTGGGGGTGATGCATACATGCAAAGTTTGTTATTAACATATGAACTTCAGTTATTCAAAGACAGTGAGAAACACCATCATTCATTGTGTGAATTTTGGCTTCCTTGATATTATTGTAGAGTCATTGTCATGCTAGTATATTATGTTGCCGTCTCTTGACTATCCAGGCATAATTGTGTAGTTGAATAGTTTTGTTCCTGTACCAATAAAAAATCGAGTAAAAAAAGTGCATCTTTTGTGGTGTTTCTTAGTGGCGACCGTAATGGAATGGGGCTGTGTACCCTGTGGCACTCTTCAAGGCATTTTTTGAAGAATAACTGATTTTATTGAACGATTCACTAATCAGATGCTTTTAAAATATGATTAAATATTAAATTATAAAATGATATCCCAGCGCTGATTGTTAAGCAGCAGCTAAAGTTGGAGAGTCACTCATGGAGTAATTCAACATTTTCAAATCTGCAATTGATTTTTCATTTTAGATAATGACCTGGTATATAGGTTTGTAGTTATGCAGGTAACTAGGTGTTGATAGTTGATTTTCTCTAAGACAAGAATTAGGATCATCTACTTTTGATGCTTGTGTATATTGTTGTAAAAATCCGACTAGGCGGTGGCCGGATGCCTGGATTTTGTCCTAGTCGGTAAGAAAAGCCGGACAGCCAATTAGACGGCATAAACGGGCGCCAAGTTGACTAGGTGGGCTCCAAGGCCGCTATGCAGGATCTTAAGTGGGTGCCTAGGCGTGAAGAACGGCGGGTCAATTTCTGGTCCAACTTATTTTCTCCATACAGACTTAAAAACATTGTTTGAGCATTAATTATTCTATTTATATTAAACGTATTTTACTATTTGACAATAAAAATAGTAAAACTTTTGAATGTATATGGACTAACTCAATGACTAAAGATCATGAACCTTTTGTTTTATTCAGTGTAGTCAAAAATAAGGCGTGGCGCAAATGACTCATAGCAGTATAGCACCTGTAAGGCTGCCAGGCTCATATACCTGACTGAGTCTCATCTTTTGTGCATGAGTCTCATATACCTGTAGTCAAAAATAAGCACTGAAGGCTTATTTTTTAAATAATAACTAATAAGCCCATATTTTAATAAGATAAAGCCCATATAAGTTAAACCAACATTAAACCCCTCTAAGCTAAATCCTACTTTAAAACCTTTCTAAGTTAAACCCTTCAAGTCACAGATGTTAAACCCTTCTAAGTCACAGTAAGTGATGACTTCAACTCTCCTGTGCGCTGCTCTAGTCACTACCTGCTCAGCTTTGAAAGAAGCACTCATTGGTCAAACACATTAAGTCTTCTTCTTCTTTTTCATAGGTGCACTTAGACTTGTGGATGAGAAAAGTGAGAGAAATTACAGATGAAGTTGGATAATATGAATCAGATAATGGATAAAAAACTGACTCCTCTTTTAATGACGAATAGTCCTTGAGAGTTTTAACAAGGAGAATTGGGCCATAACGCAATTATGTTTTTTTTAGTTTTATTATTCAACTATGAAGTCCGAATTAGTTTTTTTGTTTTTGTTTTTCTGAACCATTACTTTGGTGATTCATGAATTTATTTTTGAGAAACATGACTTTTTAATGCATTTGGTTCATTATGATGTTATATACATCATATTTGATAATTGTAGAATAGTATATCTAATATTTTGTGCCTCGGGCGCCGGAGAGGCCTAGTGCTATGACTGGGCCTCGCGACTTTGACTACCTTGATTTTATTTAAATTGTTTAATTAATTATTATATTATTTATGACTAAAACATAACTCTTGATGCTTATATGAGCTAATTTTATATCAGCAAAATAATATAAATACATCTATGAATAATATTAGAGATCATAGAAAATGAAACTAAAATAAAGAGTGTGGGGGAAGACCACCCTAGGCGGGCTATGCGCTAGGCGGTAATACACCACCGACTTAGCACCTTGCTTCTTGTAGAACATTAGCAATGTATTCCCTTCTCCCAATGTTCCAAATCACAAAGGACATTTGCTTTTAGTGCGGCTTTAATGCCATAAAGTAAAATGTACTCCACTCATTAAGAGCCCGTTTGGTAACACGAAAATCGATTGATTCGGCTGATTCTGCTGAAATTTATGAAGTTCTGCCTGAAGTGGCTGCATTGGCTCATTTTGATGATTTAAGAAAAAAATATTTTCAAAATATATTTTATTAATTTTATTAATAAAATAAAGAAAAAATTGTATGTAAAATTAGCTAAAATGATCATTTACGATAACTTCAGCCAATACAGCCTAAAAAGTAACTTCAACCTTACCTTTTCTTATTATTACACAATTCAGTGCAAGAAAACAAAACTACAAAAGTTACGTGTTTGGTGAAAAAGTTGGCTGATAAGCCTGTTAAGCTGAAAAACAGTGTTACCAAACGGCCTCTAAGTCACTAAAATTGCCCCTAGAGAGGGACAATTGTGTCAATTTATTTCATAAAAGTAAGAGCAAGAAAGGGTGAGATAGGAAAAGTAAAAAATCAGTTGTGTTCGAATTAGAAAGTGGACAACATTTTGAGACACATTGAAAAGGAAAGTAGGAAATGTACAATCCGGGAGAGGATAGTAGTTGGATAATTTTTTGTCCCATCTTAAGAATTATTGTACACAATACACACTACACATAGCTCTAAATATCTAATCAGCTGAGGGCCTTGAGGCTGGAGGGGGCTGTGGCTCCCCAACTCTTTTGCCTGTCTAGTGTATATAAGTACAATTTTTATAAACTACAAATAGATGGGTTGAATTATGAAGCTTTTCCCCTCCCAGGGTCACAGTTGTGAAACTCTGCCCCTAATACAACATTTCTATCTTTGCCTAATTGCCTCTGCTTACAGAATAGGGCTATAAGGCCTTACAAATTAAAAATAAAACCAACATGAACTTTTAATACGATAGTATATTGTGAACTCCCTGTGATAAATATTGATTACACCTTGAACATGATTATGTTATCTGCGAAGGTTTCCTCAAGAATGTGTCTTTCTTCTGGTAATTGATATCCAATTAATGGATATATTTATTGTAACTAAGATTGGATTTATATTTGCAACACAATACTCCTTATATCATAACAATGTCTGGATCATCTTTATTCTGTAGTTAACAATTAACATTCATTTTTCATAAGCTTCCAATAAGGGTTTGATAATACTGGGCTATGTTTGGAGCGCATAAAACACTACAGGAAAAAATGTGTAGGGATATTATTTTCTTATTCAATTTTAACTGAGAAATAGCAGAGGAAAATGAGGTTGGATTTTTTTTCATGCGCGTTGATTGCTTAGCATTTATTAAATATACATGAAGAAATAGAATGTAATGAGATCAAATACTAAAGATAAATATATTAAGTTCGACTCTATTTTATTTTCCTCAATATGTTCTCTTTCCAAATTTCTCTCATATCTTCATCTCTACCTAGAATTTTCCTCGTTTCATACAGAGCCCCAGAGTTAGCATGTAGAATTTTCATCTCTACATGGAACTTTGCTCTCTTTCATTTGTTTTTTATTTTTTATTTCCTATTATGTGCTAGTAAAAATACTTCTGTCCCACTAGACTTCTTAAAAACTGTCCCTTTGTCTTTAATGGAAGAAATTTGTGATATACATCATTTCTCTCACAATTATACATTTTTGCGTTCATGTGTTAGTCGAAATGGTAAAGTTTAGAGGGACAGATGTGTATACATTTTTGTCATTGATTAAAGGTCAAATCTATATTGCAGATGGTTTGTGCCCCAATATTGTTGAACTCAAGTGCATTCAGTTGGAGAGTATCAGTGTTGGAACAAAGCCATTTTATTTGACCTACATTGTCTGGGTGCGGGTCCCTTTTTCTATATTTGGGCTATTTATTCCCAATGTGGTCTAAAGACTACAAAAAGTGAATTTGTAGCTGTTGTTTTTAGCAATAAGAGATGCAAATGTCATTGTTCAATGTTGCACAAGGTGCTAGATTCTGGCTGCTATACTAGTGATGGAGTGGATCAGTGGAATCTAGCTTTTAGATTAGGATTAAGTGGGGTTATGCTCAACATAAATGCAATCAGATGGTACTTAATTAGAAAAAAAAGCTACACTACAGCATTATCTAGTGTTAGGCGGATATTATTCCGGTGAGAAATTTTACAATGTCACTATCAGACAGCATGAGGACAAGAAGATGCATACGCAAACCCCATTAGTGAATGGAATTAAGACTCAACTCAAGTTTTTTTTAGACTAACTAGAAAGTTGAAGCCTGGAGTTAAGTATGGCTGGCTGAGAATTCCTCCATTTGAAATTATTATGAGCTATCTTTAGCAAAGGAGTTCAATTTTATAAAACTGTGGATTTTGGTGTACTTATTTTAATCTTGTTTTACTTGTAATTCATATTATTTAGCATATTATTTTTTTAATTTGCTTATTTTCTCAAGCTTGTTGGTGATCTTTTTAAGTTCATATGTGTCTGTTAAAAACTTTATACGGAGTACTATTTTCTTATATCTAGTACGGAGTTATTAAATAAATTAGAAGTTATTTATAATTACTAAATACCAGAAAACAGGGTTAGAGCGCGAGTCGAAATTAGGTGATCGTTATAGAGAATATGCTTAACAGTGTGCAAATGTATAAAATGTTTATTTTCCTTATACTTTGGTCTAATAGATATACGTAAATCTTATCTAACATTGATCTTTTTAGAATTCAAAAGGAGACATGGGCCCCCGTCTAGTTCTGCATTTTACAGAGTATTATCTCCACCAAAAACTGAATGTTGCATATTTGAATAGAAGATAATAAATACTCCGTAATTTAGAGTAGTATATTTAAATGAAAAATTCTTTTTGTACACGTTCTTATACACATCACTACACCTCCGTGTGTGAGAGAGTATTTTTTTGTCTGAGAATCCCAATCGACAGACAACAACTGGATTGTTTTGACTGTAAAATTTCTCACATAAAAAACATGCCGATTTTAAAAAAAAAAACTCTCACAGACACGGATGTGTACTGGTGTGTATAAAAGTGTGTACACCAAGAATTTTTGAAAGATATATTCCAATGGGATAAGGAAAGATGCTACTATTATGCACAAGTGCTACCTCGTACAAGCGTGGCATACTATGCTACGACCATGGTACTATTGGTAGAATACTACCGTTCGACTGTTCGTAGACTATGAGATCACGGTGAGCATCATGCTCCACGTCAAAAAAGACGTAGTTTTAATCAATTTAAAAACAGTACATGCGTGAACAGTTAGGGGTGGACCCGAGCCGGACCGGCCCTAGGCTCGGGCGGGCTTTTTTTCGGAATGTTGGGCCCGGAACCGGCTCGGGTTGATACCGGGTCCGGGCCAAACCGGGTCAGGACTCAGGCCGGGTCAGGCCCGGTTCTATGTAATTTTTTTTGGCTTTCTAATTAACCCCCGACGGCCTGACTTCCTCCCTCATCCCCCACTCCCAAACACCCCCTCCACAAAAACACCCAGCCCTACCCAAGGAAAAGAAAAAAATTGAAAAAAAAAAATTGAATCGGGCTCGGCCCGAACTGCCCGGACCGGTTCATGAAAATCATGGCCCGGAACCAGCCCGCCAGAACCGCCCAAATCGGGTTAAAGCCCAGAATCGGTCATCCGGGCCCGGACCGATCCGGGCCTGCACAGTAGCGGGCCGGTCCGGTTCTGGGCCGGTTCGGCCTGATTGGGTCCATGCTTATGAACAGTACACACGTGCACAATACTGCTTTTTATTTTTGTCTTGGTACAGTAGCAGAATGATGTAACTCACGTGTAAAGAAATGTAACTCACGTTATTGATGAATGTAACTCAAGTCTATTTGAAGTGTAACTTGTCTAATACATAATATAAGAAATAAAATATTGATTTCAATGGAAAAAGAATCTATTTGCCCAATTATTTTACATAAATAGTGTATGTTTTGTTTTTAATATCAGGGCTATAAAATGTTTTTTATAAATATAATTTTTATTTGAATAGCAGGGGCTTATTGGATTGTGTAACTCGCATTATATTATGATGTAACACATGTTTCGGAAAATGTAAATCAAATGTAAACATGATGTAACTTGCTAAGAAAAGTTGACACGTAACTCGCGTTAATAGATATGTAACTTGAGATGAATGGAAATGGAAATCATGTTAATACAAATGTAACTTTTCTATGATAAATGAAAATGTAACTACAAAGAAACTTTTCCATGGATGGCTATCCCAAAATCCAATCCCACATTTCGGAGCTCTAAGTTCAGAGAAATCAAACCTTTATTGGGGAGGGAATTGAGGAATCTAGAGGGGATTACTATGCATGTATGTGTTTTGGGTAATTAGCGTGCAATTGAAGAAGATCTAGCTAGTTACACCAAATTCTCCTGAACTCAATGAAAGCTTGTGCAGTAAGTTGTGGGTAATTAGCGTAAGTTTGGGTGAACTCAATTGAGAGTTACTCTCCTTAACGCAATTGAGCGCAGTAAGTTTGTTGCAGATGACAAGAATGGAAGGTGGAGCTCCTATCAGAAAGCAGCAGTGTAGTGCTCCGAATCTCCGATGATGAGCCTGAGATTTTTCATCATGGGGAGGAGCTCAAGAACTGGTCGTGACCATTGAAGTCGAAAGAAGATGATTGACTTTTATTACTCAAAAGGGCACCGTTTTGGATCGGCACACCATGCTCAAGGTGGGCCGATCTCACGGTATAATTTGCTCAATACTACTAGATACATAGCAGTTGGTATACCGTGGGAGCAGTTCACGGTAAACATGGTGCTCCCACATCTAATTCACGTGTGAACAGTAACACGCGTGAACAGTACTTTTTTTTTTTGTTTCAGTAGCAGGGTGATGTAACTTGTGAGTAATGAAATGTAAATCACGTTGATATGCAATGTAACTGCAGACAAGTTGAGATGTAACTATTCTAATATAGATAAGAAGAAATAAAACATTAGTTTCAATGTAAACAATGAAAAAGTGGTCTAATTGCTCAATTACTTTACGTAAGTAGTGAATATGTTTTATCTTTAGTATTAAGGCCATAAAATATTTTTTTAAATATCTATTCTTTGCCAAAAAAAAAAATTGCAAAAAAAAATTGTTTCAATAGCTAGGGTTTATTTTTTGGTATGTAACTAGGGTTATGAGAATTATAACTCATATTGATGGACAAATCTAACTTAGGTGTATGCAAAATGTAACTTGTTGATGCAAGTCTAAGTGTAACTCGCGCACAAGAATATGTAACTCACACATAAAATTGTATAACTCGTCCATAAGAAAATGTAACTTCATAAAGTATCAAATGTAATTAATGAAAACAAGGAGCCTAAGCTCATTGCTCAATTACTTTACGTAAATAGTGAATATGTTTTGTATTTAATATTTAAGGCCATAAAAAATTGTTTCTTAAAAAAATATTTTTTTGCCATAACTTTTTTTTGGGAAAAAATTATTATTTTTGCCAAAAAAATCATTTTTTATGCAAAAAAAAATGATTTTTTTGTTTCAATAGCAGAGGTTTATTTTGTGATGCAACTCATATTATGAAAAATGTAACTCACGTTGATGGAAAATCTAACTTCGGTGAATGCAAAATGTAACTTGTTGATGCAAGTCTAAATGTAACTCACACGTATGAATATGTAATTCACTCATAAAAAGATGTAACCCACGTACAAAAAGATGTAATTTCATATATTATCAAATGTAACTCTAGAAATTATCAATAAACATAACTCACACATGTAGAAATATAAATCACATATGAAAATGTAATCTCATACTTTATCAAATGTAAATCAAAATTATCAAATTTAATGTCTAAAAAACATTAAAAAATATAAGAGATAATAAATACATTATAGGAAAAAGTGTGAATATGAAAAAAAAAATATTACAAATAAGTGTATAAATATAAAAAATATTTATTTTGAAGAAAAAATAATTATTTTTTGGTTGTATAAAAAATGGAAAAGTGGATCAACAAGGACTAAGAGAGAAAGAAAAAGTTATTCATTTATTTGAAAGGATGAAAATTTAATCACAAAATAGTAATAGTTACGGTGTTCTTACATTAAAAAATTAGTGGAAACATGATAGCATTTGATGATGAAAAAAACTAAAAGTAGAAAACGAAAAAATAAAAAAACGTAAGTGGGGTATGTGTGAGTGGAGAGAGCTGCCACCATCCAAGAAGTTCCTGTGCGCTCCGTTTGTTATAAAAAACGGTACCGTATTTGGGATCGGTGAACCATGCATGCCCACGGTATAATTTGCCGATACATTGTATTATTACATACACATAGGCGTAGCCAGGGCAGAAGGTTATTCAATGTATATTTAAGATGTTTTTACTTGAACTTATTTCAGTTCCATACCATATCAGACTAGACTTTGCAATTATAAAATACCCAAAAACCGGACTTACCAGACCAGTTCAGATCATATTAGATCAGACCAGAAAATTTCAATCAAAGTAAAAAATCCGGCCTTAATCAATATAAATTATAGAATTAAAAAAAAGAAGGATCACCATATAAAATTTCTCATGTCTACCAAATTATGCGAACGTTTTCAAAAATATTACTCCCTCCGTCCCTAAATTATCTTCAAACTTTCCTTTTTCGTCTGTCCCAAAATTATCTCTTCTTCCCCCTTTTAGCAAAAAATTTGTGGTTCACAACCATTCTTACACATTCTTACACATTTCTCTCTCCTCTGCACAACTCTCCACCACACAAATCTCACTATCTTAATAAATGTGCCTAGTCGAAAAGGGAGAAAGATTAGGGACGGAGGGAGTATTTAATAGTGTAGAATTAATTAAGCATTAATTATTAGGTAGTTTCCTAATTGTACTCAGATACTTATTTCTTATATATACACTGTCAGGGCTACCAGTCTAGGTAAGCCTGTTATTATTTCTCACATGGTATCAAGAGCTAGGGTTAATTAATTTTTTTCTTTTCCATCTTCCGCCATGAGCACGGCCGCCGCCAGCACCAATACGGTTGCGCCGCCAGTCTCATCTTCACAGACCGCCGTTTCCATGCCTCCGTCAACCGTGATGTCGATGGCACCGGCATGTCTGCTTTTTGGTTCCTCCTCCATGATGCAGCAGTCTCTCTCCAGGCCTTTTCCGATGAGCAGCGCACCGGACATGTCCGCCTGGGTTCCGCCAACGTTCGACTGGTCACCGCCGACTCCTTCCCGGCAATCAACTGTTTCGTTCTCCGATCCGCAGGTCGTGGCAGACTCCTCCTGGGCACCGTTCGGTGGTGCCACCATGACTGGCCAACATGGTTTGGCTCCTCCCGCATCTCTCCGGGTGATTGGACGTCCTCCTCCCTCCATGGCAGTCAGTTCTCTTGAGTCTATTGCTCAATCTATGGGATTTTCAGCCCCCAACATCACCAATATTGTCACTACCAAGCTTGATG